GAGGAATAAAATACTGCTTACAAAAGTTACTACATTTTTAGAAATGAAATTATCATAGAACACATAGGTTGTGATGGAAAAACCTCGTATTTTCATGAAGGACACTGAAGTTTAGTTGAATTAATGGGGAGCCACTTCAAATTTCCAGATGAAATGTTTGACCACTATAAATATTCTGCTTTTTCACTGACTTAACCTACAATGAAAAACCAATAGAACTCCTGTTTGAACTCTTTAAGGCTCCAAATAAACTTACTCTAATATTCATATTGCATATTAAGATTAGTGAATAGGAAAGTTGAACATTTTAAAAGAACAGGAGTAACTGTGGCAAGATAATTGCCTCCTCTCTTAGGCGGCCATAATGTCATTGTTATTATGAAGCTATATTGTTAAAGGGAATGAGGTAGACAAAAAGACCAATAGGACAGAAAAAAGGCTCAGAGAAGTGTGTACACTTATGCTTGGTAAGATTAAAATGAAAATCAATAGGAAATATGTATATTATATAGTAAGTGGTGGGAATTCTAGCTCAGTAGATGCAGAAAATCTAATTGGATCCCTAGCCCTTTGGGTAAAGGATGCCGATATCTTTTCTAAGCTTAAAAGTCATTACTTAGTATCAAACTGTCCTCTAAATTCATATTTCTCTACCCATAGATGAGTGCAGCTCTCCGACCTCATCAGAGAAGTTTGTGCAGTGGACGGCGGCAAACACAAAAACTCACAACTGGTCAAAGTACGAAGAATAAGTGTCAGTAGAGTGCAGAGTCGAAAATGGGACATCTGTATCACACACACACACACACACACACACACACACACACATACACGCACGCACACACATACACACACGCGCACACACACATACACACATACACACACACATACATGCATACACACACGTACACACACACATACACACACGCGTACACACGCACGTGCGCACACACATACACACACATGTACACACATACACGCGCGCGCACACACACACACACGGATCATTAAGGAAGACAGAGCAGAAAGACTATAAGAGCCAGAGGTCACGGAGAACCAGACTGAAACAGACTTCTGGACACAACAGGACCTCTGCACTCATAATTCACAGCAGCTGTGGTTGCCTGCACAAGACCAGCAAAAGTCCAAGTCAGCCAACATTCTAGCATGGAGAGGGAAGGGGCATACAAGCCTCCATCCATAACTGAGGCGCTATTGACAGTTGGTGGTTACTGGGAGAGGGAAAGTCAGTTTTCTTTAAGGGTGTGGCCCTGGGTTCGTCAACCATGCTCCACTAGATGGCCCCACAAATAGGAGTATATGCCCAGCACAAATTTGAACAGGTAGGTTATTTTTTTTAATAAACATGACAGGACAGCTGGAGCTACAGGGAGACCCCGTCTCAAAAAGACCAAAAAAAAAAAAAAACATGACATTGGAAGAGTCTGGGGAGAAGTGGATAAAGGAGGAGTTGGAGGGCGGAGTGGAGAGTGAGTATGATCAAAATACATTATGTGAAATCCTCAAAAAGTTAGTAAACAACATATTAAATAAAAGAAAAACAATAACAGAGTCAAGCATAGTGGCACATGCCTGTAATTTCAACACTTAGGAAACTTAATTTTTTTCAAATATATCTTTTAAAATAATAAGAGAACTAAAAGAAGGTTATTGGCCACCTCAAGGCCCTTTTGTAGGATATAACCCACTGACACCAAAATAAAACTAAGAAGAGTTGGCTCTGGAGAATTCATTCAGAATCACAGCAGACTTGCCTAAGAGTCTCTCCAAGGACTTCTTTCATCCTCCAAGGTCTAGAGATGACATCAAGTCCCTCTGGCCATTGTTATTTTGTAAAGCAGAGGGTGGGGAAAAAATCTCCTTTGATGTAAAGACGATGCAGATGCTTCCTTGTTCAGAAGCCTCCTGCCTGTATTCTGCGGCTTTTGCTGCAGTGCTGGAAAGGATGTACTAGAAGCATCCTTCACTAAGGGCAGCGGGTTTGTGCCGAGGCAGCCAGGTAAAGACAAATCCCATTCAAATCCATCTTCTCCTAAAACTACCCACTCTGTGGACCTGTGAGGGCAGAAGTCTTGAGCAGAGATCAAATCTTTATTTATAAACCTTCTGAATTATCCTTTGCAGGGAAAAGAGGCAGCCTCTCTACCCTCCTCTGATCTAGACTAATCCCTTTATCTGCCATTTTATCAAACACTCTTTATCCCTCCTCTTTGGAGGGATATAATATATCTATAATGTAAAGAACTTGGTCTGAGCTTGGCTTAGCTTTATCCAAATCCACTGGCACCAATTCAGAGAATATCAGGTCTTTGTGGACTCCTGGGCTAAATCCTGAGATTACAGAGAAAACAGAGGACATTGTAGAGTCACAGAACCCTGGAATGGGCATCAGTGTCCACAACCCTCACCTCCATTTTGAGGGCTTCCCCATCTGGCTTCTGTGAAACTGTGTGCCATTTCTTCTTGGATTCACATTCAAGTAGAGAAGGAATTCCTATTTGGTAGCAGAGGCCCCCAAAGGTGATCATTTCCCCATCTTTAGAATTTCTAAAGAGGGATGGACTTTGGAAACCTTTGGTTTGTTTTTTTTTCACATGTGAATATATAGTTTGTGTGAGGAAAGTGTATGTATACCAGGGCATACATGTGGAGGTCAGAGAACAATTTGCAGGAGTCAGGTCTCTCTGCAAAGTGGATCCCAGCAAAGGAACTCAGGTTTTCAGGTTTGGCAACAAGCATCTTTACCCAGAGTCATCTCATTGGCTCTCCTGATTGTTTTATTTTTTTTTTGTCTTTTTGAGACAGGGTCTCCCTGTAGCCCCAGCTGTCCTGGAACTCACTATGTAGACCAGGCTGGCCTCGAACTCACAAAGATCTGCCTGCCTCTGCCTCCCAAGTGCTGGGATTAAATTGGGCTTGATTGTTTTTTAAAATGAAAAATTCAAGTAATTTACAAACTGACAGGGACAGAGAAAGGTCTTGCCCTGCCATGAGGGATGACAACACCTCTGTCAGCCAGACGGCCAGCCAAAATGTTTATTGATTTAAACTGTGCCAGTCATTCCTGTGAGTTGGGCTCAGCTCCCTTTGGAACTAGAGAATAACACTTCTCAGTGTCCTGGAGTCTGTTCTCAGCTCCCTTCCTTTCCTTTTCCAGGATCGTAATCCTGCTTCTCATTTCCTTTCTTTGTAGGTCTGACCCTCAACACTTTCCCGGCCCACTTCTCCCACTTTGGTCAGCATCACACGCTCTGAGCTAGGAAATGCTGACAAGGTCTGACGCAGCAGGGCTACATAATCTACGCTATATAATCTCTCCAGAGTCAACCCAGACGTTCCCTTCAAAAATGCCTGAGGTGCATAGCACATCTGAGCAATCATTAGAGGTCACATCTCTCTGAAGGGATACTTGAATGTTCCATGGGAGTTAGCAATGTCACTGAGTTTGTGCTCCTGGGACTAGACAGCAACCCTCAGATCCGGGAACTGCTCTTTGTCTTGTTTTTGGTGCTTTACCTTTTGACCCTCGCGGGGAACCTGCTGATACTGCTGGTGACCAGTACTGATTCCCACCTAGACACACCCATGTACTTCCTCCTGAGACACCTCTCCTTCCTGGATGCTTTCTATTCCTCAGTCATTGTACCTAAACTGCTGGAGAACCTTCTTTCTGAGTGGAAGACTATATCCTTCCTTGGGTGTTTCATTCAGATTTCTCTGGTCATATTTTCTGGGGCCGCTGAAGCCTGTCTCCTTTCTGCCATGGCCTATGACCGGTACCAGGCTGTGTGCCACCCACTGTTGTATGCGGCTACTATGAACAGGAAGGTGTGTGCTGAGCTGGTGGGTGTGTCCTGGACCATAGGAGTGAGTACAAGCCTGGTTAACACCCTCCTCCTAGCTCAGCAGCACTTCTGTGGCCCAAACCTCATCCACAGTTTTGCCTGTGAGGTTCCTCCCGTGCTCTTGTTGGTTTGTTCTGACCCCTACACTTCTGTCACCTCCATCCTGACCACCATGGTGATCATAGGCCTTGGTTCTCTTGTCCTACTGCTGGGTTCCTACAGCTGGATCATCATCACAGCCCTGGGCGTCAACTCGGCCACAGGTCGGAACAAGATCTTCTCTACGTGCTCTTCTCATTTCCTTGTGGTCACCATCTTTTACGGTTCAGGAGTTTCCAGGTATGTCATATGATAGTTCCTAAGTGTAAATGCTGTGTATTCCTCCCCTAACTGCCCTTGGTCTACAGAGCAAGGCTGTGCAACGTAGTAGGAAAAAAAACAGCCTGGAATTCATAAATTTACACTCCAGTCTGGCTCTGCCCTGGGCTAGTTTCTAGTTTATTAAAAAAAGAAAAGAAAAAAGAAAAAAGGAAGGGAGGGAGGGAGAAAAGGAAGGAGGGAAGGAGAGAGGGAAGTCCATTTTCTAAGCTGGGCATAGCTGTGCCTTATAATCCCAGCACCCGGCAAGCTGAGTCAAGTCACAAATTTAAGGCCAATCTGGATAACACAGTGAGCTCCTGTCTCCAAAAGGAAAAAAAAAGGAATTCATTTTCTTTCTGAAGCTCTGTTATATATTCTGGAAAATGAGTTTGGACAAAGACTAAATGTTTAAGAACTCTGGAATTCTCAAGAGAAAATTAACATCTTCAGTAGATTGTACTCAATGCTAGACAAAAAAAGCAACATCCTTGAAACAGGTGACATCTTTCCTATGAGACAATGACACCAACAAAGCTTGTTTGTGCTGTAAGTATTTGTTGGGCACTAACTATACATCAACTTATTTACATGGTGAAGCTCAATTTTGGTATGCATCACATGCCCTGAGTTAGTAGTATTAACCTCACTGTCAGGAAAATAACTTGAGTTTTCAGAGTAACCATGTAATTCTTAGAGAATTCAGAACAAGGGAGTTGTGGAGTCACTTATACCAAATTTCATGCTTTTTCCTACCATGCTTTTCTCAGATATAGTCATCTTTAACCAATGAGCCCCCTTTACCAGGAAACGAAAAATGATGCCTGTGCTCCCTGCTAGTGAACTAGGGAGGGACTGGAACACCACTCGGAGCTGTTCTCAGATGCTGTGAGTTGAAGAGAAATTAGGTGGTAGGAAGACAAGGAATGGTTTGGGGAACTTACCTGGGGACAAACGTCATCTTTCTTTATCTGAGTGTTCCACATTAAAGAGATAATAAGATTTTTCTTGCTTATTTCCCAGAAATGTGAGAAAGATAAATTAAATAGATAAAAATAATAGTAAGATGAATGTTTTCTTTAGAGATTTTATTTCATTTTTTTATTTACTTGTGTGTATGCCACATGTATGTGGGAACCTGCAGAGGCCAAAAGAAGGTATTGAATCCCCTGAAGCTGGTGTTACAGATGGTTATGATCCACTAACATGGATGCTAAAAACTAAACTGCAGTCCTCTACACAGCAACAAGTGCTCTTAACCACTGAGACATCTCTCCAGCCCCGAATATCTTTTTTAAATCAAATACAACAGAATCTATAAGGAACATTCTTGATATATGTGATATTTACTCCAATGAAGGTAATATCATTGAAAAAATAATAATGTTTCTTTTGGGAAATAACACAAGGGATACTTAATGGTATGCCCAGTAATTTTAAAAATCTATATTTTGCTGCATACATTTGTGTGTGTGTATGTGTGTGTGTGTGTATGAATGTTTTGCCTGTGTATATGTAAGTACATCCATGCAATGCTATGGAGTCCAGAAGAGGGCATCAGATTCCCTGGAACTGTAGCTACAGATGGTTATTAGCCACCATGTGGATGCTGGGAACCAAACCTCAGTCTTGTGCAAGAGCAGCAAATGTTCTTAACCACTCAGTCATTTCTCCAGCCCCTGCTTCATATATTTTTGTCTCCTTATTTACAAATTTTGGCTTATTTTCCAAACCAAAGAAAACTGCAACTAAAATCATATGTTCCATTGAGCATTATAAGAATAACATGCTTTGATTATGAAATTAACTCCCGGAGCCATAAATATTGGGACAATGGCAGCCTTGTAAGCTAAACTCACAGTTTTGCAAGAAGTTATCACAAATGAGATCATAGTGTGTCTGGATTGTGAATACTGAGAAATGATATAGAGAAGGGAATGTTATCATCATCACTGTCAGATGAGATGTTTTGAAGAGTGTGGAGTGCTGTGGGGATCCTGAACTTACTTTATTGGTCTATCCTAGCCTGCAGCCCTCAGAAAGCTGCAGAGCTACTTTGTCCCTCAGGGCAGCGCCTATACTTTTCTATGAGTTCTGTGGTGGTTTGAATGAAATTGTCCCCCATAGGCTCCAAGTATTTGGACATTTTGTCCCCAGATGGTGGCGCTGTTTTGGGAGGTTTTAGAAGATGTGGCTATCCTGGAGGAAGCATGTCACTGGGAATGGGATTAGAGAATTCTTAAGCCTTGCTGGACCTCCAGTTGCTCTCGTTTCCTGTGCCTGCTGGAAGATGTAGAGCTTAGCTTCCGCTGCTCCTCCAGCCACCTCTGCTGTCATGCCTCCCAGCCGTGATGGACTGGAATTCCCCCAGAACCATAAGCTCAGATAAACTCTTCTTTTTATAAGTTGTTTTGGTCAGTGTTTCTATCACAGCAGCAGAAAGGTGACTAATACAAGTTCTCTCGTGCTCAGAGGCATTTGAAGGCAGAAATGACTGGCTTCTCGCTGAACACTCATTTGTAGATGTAGTGAGTCTGCTCAGCTCTGATCATTGCTGTTTGCCAGGTTATCAGGAGTGGGATGAATCATAACTTCAGCAGTATGGTGACCACTGTCCTGAGCTCACTTTCTTCCTGTCTGTAACTCTATTCAAGGTACATGACTCCAGCATCTGGCTCAACCCTGGAGCAAGTGCTATCTTTGCAGTATAGTGTGGTGACTCCGCTGCTAAACCCCCTCATCTACAGCCTGAAGAACAAAGATGTGAAGGCAGCTCTGAGGAGGATGCTGACCAGGAAGTCCAGACTGACCTTCTAGTCCGAGTTCTCCTGCCCCACTAGGAGGAAAAGTGATGGAGGGAAGAGGTGACCGTGAGAGCTCTCACATTCAGCCACCTCTGCACTGCCAAAGCAGATGAGTTTCTCTTCCTCCACCGCCCTGGCCCCAGTAAAGGGACGTTAGGAAACCTCCACAGTAGAGCAGATGACGCCCAACCAAGGGACCCACTTAGTACATTAGAAAAATCCTCTTGGTTTCACTGGCCGTTTCCACAACTACTGATTTTTTTCTTCTTATTTCTCGGCCTCTCTACTGTTCCCCTTTCCCCATTCGTCCTTTATTTTGTCTATGCACAAGGTATAAATCAACTTATCAGATTACTAGGAAGTAGATTGTCACATTATGGGACATATTGTGACATATTGGCAGTGCAAGATTCAAGTCTCCATTTGTTTCCATCGCAAAAGATCCCTGATAAGGACCTAAATCTCTATAACAATTGCACAATCAGGGAGTGTGTGGTACTTACACGACAGTGCAGGTAGAACAACATAATCACTGAAAAGAAATGTATAAACTAGTGGAGGGGCTTGGAGAAGGCATCTGTCTAAGCACCACAAATCATGACCCCAGATGCCCTCCAGTGCTGCTTATACAGAAGGACACATCCATTTGTTTTACTTCATGAATCATTTTACCACTGAACACACTAACTCTGAACTGAGTGGAAGGACATACAGGACAGCACTGATGTGATCTACACACACTGCTGCAAAATTCTACTGTAACCGTAAATGGATGGATTTTTAAGACTGCTTCCATGCTGCCTCCCTGCTCTTACCCCTCCAAACATCACACTAGTATTTCTCTATAAAGAAATTTGTGGGCTGGAGAGACGGCTCAGCATTTAAGAGCACCAGCTGCTCTTGCAGAAGACTGGGGTTCAATTCCCAACACTGACATGGTGGCTACAAACCATCCTTAACTCCAGTTCCAGGGGAATCTGAGTCTCTCTTCTAACCTCCACAGGCATTTCACTACATGGACTCACTAATACACCTGCAGGCAATATACTCATATACGTAAGATAAAAATTATATATAAACTAATTTTTTGAAAGAAATTTATTGTAAAATTCCCTTCAGGACACTGAAGAGCATGGCCACATATACAATATGCTTGTCCTCACAAGTATAGCTTTCCTGATATCTGTAGGATGAAGGTCAGTACTGTGGTTTGGATACTGAATGTAAGTATATTGTCACATTATGGGACATAGCCCCCAAAGGCCTGTAGAAAGGTGTAGGCCCCGGGGTAACAGTATTGAGAAATTCTATGGACATTTAAATGGTGGGGTTTATGGGAACTCCTTAGGTCACTGAGGCATCCCTGGAAGCAAGCTCATAGGGCCCCAGGCTCTCCATTTCCTTCCCGCTCTCTCTACTCCATTCCTCCAGTTTGAGGTGTAACCATTCGATCCTACATGCAATCCTGGCAAGGTATGCTGCCATCCACCAATCTCACATGAGGAAGATCTTAAACCTTGAACTTCCCAAACTATGAACTAAATAAACCTTGCCTGTTTGTAAGATGGCTGCCTCTAGTAATAGTGTCAAGTTGACTTAGCCCAGGCAGGGATCTGTGGGACTGACTGGCACAGTCTACCCTCTGTCTCACACTCCTGACACCATGCCTTCCCTGTCATGATGGGCTGAACCCGCAAACTGTGAACCAAAATAAACCCATTCTTCCTTAAATTGCTTTTGTCTGAAATTTTGTCACATCAATTAGAAAGGTAATTAATACAGTTTAGATCTTTGTTCTTTTAACTATTTTTATTGATTTGTGTGTGTGTGTGTATTTCATAGAGAACATCCCAAACAACCTTAATCATCTTTATACCCCCATCCCAAATGGCACCTTCCCATAGCCCCCCCACTGGAGCCCGTATACTTTGTCATCCCTGTTACTGTCCACTGTGTTGTCAGTGTCCCCAGCCATTCCCCAGTGCAAGTCCATCTACCGAATCTAGTCAGCCTATCTAGGGTCCCTTGTTTTAGGAAGATCATCTCTTCTTCATCTAGTAGCACTCAGTTGACAACATTCCTTTAGATAAAATTGGGGTCTGCTGAGGTTACAGTCTGCCTGAGTTTGCATGGGCCTGTGTATGCTGACACCTATGCCATAGAATCATATAAGCAGGTTCCCAGGAGCTTGTAGGACTCTATTTCCATATGGTCCTGCACCTCCTCCCCGGCTCTTACAATCTTTCCACCCCCTCTTCTGAGATGGTCCCTGAGCCTTGGGTGGGTGGAGTTTAATAAAGGGGTCCTGTCCAAGGACCAGGATTCAGCAGACTCTAGATCTCTACACTTTGGCCATTTATGATCTTTTGTGTTCCTGGCCCTCCGCTGATGAGGAGCTTCGTTATTGAGAACTGATCCTTAGTGTCCTCTTCTTTATCCCTGTTCTATGTTCCATGAGCCTTAGATGTAGAGGTTGCATTGCAGATGGGTCCCTTAGGCCTGGGCAATTCATAGACAACATCCATGTGTGACCTGTTGTGGTACTTGGTATTAGTCTCTTACTGCTGCAAAGTGAGCTTCTTTGATGAGTGGAGACTGGGATATTTGTCCGTAAATATAAGGATACATATTTTGCACATAGGAAGAAATCACATTAGTCTAGTGATGTGAGAGTTTGGGGGTTTTCTGCAAGATCTATGATCATTCTGACCATGTGCATTAGGTTATGTTACAGTACCACACTTGAGTTGTGTTGGCCACTGATGTGGTTATTTGGTCTTGAAGCTGGTGTTGGATCATCCACTGATGTTTTCCCTTGGCACCTTCATAGTGCTCTCCAAAACTATGAGAGCGAGCCTTCAGGGGAAGTGGCTGCAGGTCAGTTGCAGCTCTACTTCTCCAAATCTTGTGTTCGACAGTATGCTCTGTCTTTGGCAGTAGGGTCTTACCTTCAAGTTCCGGGAAGACATCAAGGGCTGTGGCAATAGCCTGAGTAACTTTGTGAGTCTCTTGGACCACCCTGGCCAACAACTCAAAGGAAGGTTTCTCCTGTCTGGCACTGTTTCTTTTTATGTACCCTTTAGCTATACACATGGACGCAAATAAATATACTGACCACTTTAATCTTTGGTTATACTTTCCTTTTGGGTGTTTATGACCATACAGTTGACCCAAATAAACCATTTTATTTTTACTCTTAAGGTCATTTGAGGATCTGTTCCTCAGGGGTAATATGGGCTTAGAAGGAGCCCCTTCTTCCTTTTTACCAGTTCCATTTATGTGAAGATAAGTCAAAGTTCCCTCTGAACTATGGCTGGCTTCACTGGGAAGCATGGAGGAAATGTTTCCTCCGTGTTGACCCTCCTCTTTGTAGACTGGACACTGGTTTAAGTCCATCTGGTGGGGTCTCCGTGGCCTCCTTGATCAAGAGGACAGGTGATTCACCACAGTTAGAAGACATTTTGAGGGATGTTCCATAGTCCCCTGGAACTTAGTGACCTTGAAGGACAAGGAGCAAAATCTGTCCTTTAAGTCCCTCTGACCAGATTAGTATAGGTCTCAAAGTGTGGCTGTTAAACATCCAAGAAGGTTAGGTCCACCAGTCTGGTACTTTTAATTACCATGAGCTATGTAGATAAAGCTTGGACAAAAACCAAACATTCTCAGATAAACCTTGACTAGACATATATTTTGTTCCTTGAACTAGTTGTATGTAAGATTTGTCAGTAGATTGTTTGACTAATATGGTTTCTCTGGTTTTTTAAAACTAGCTAGGCTTTATTTATCTCTCTCACTAGCTAACCCTTCCACCATGGTTTCCCCCATTTAAAGTGCCCCCATTTCCCCCCTTTCTCCCTTGATAATACCCTTCTCCTATGGTCCCACCTCTCTTGAGCTCCTTCTTTCCCTTTATCCCCAAGGTTCCTTGTGTAACCCTCCTTCCCCCTCCCATTTAAATAACCCCATTTTTATCCATATCTCCCTTAGTAGAGAAGGAAATTAAAGGAATAATAATTGGAAAAGAAGCATCTGTTTTCTACTGTTCTCTCTCAGGTTATTTCTTTTCCTTTACCTCCCTGGTTCCTTTTCATTATCCTGGTTCCTGTAATTATGTCTGGATACATACTCACTTATAAGGATTTGGTGCTAGGATCCACATATGAGGGAGAACATACATGGTTTATTTTTCTAAGTCTGTGTTACATCACTTGGCATAACAGTTTCTACTTCCATCCATTTACCTGTAATTTTCATGATTTCATCTTTCTTTACTGGTGAGTAGAACTCCATTGTGTAAATGTATCTCATTTTCATTATCCACTCATCAGTTGAGGGGCCCTTAGCTTGTTTCTATTTCTTATCTATTGTGAAAAGAGCAGCAACAAACATGGATATACAAGTGTCTCTGCACTACGATGAGTTCTTTGGGTATATGCCAAGGAGTGGTATAACTGGGTCAAATGGTAGGTTCATTTGTAGTGTTTTAAGAGTTCTCCACACTGCTTTCCATAGGGGTTGAACTAGTTTGCATTCCCACCAGCAGTGGATGAGTATTCCCCTTTCCCCACATCCTCTCTTACATTTGGTATCATTTGTTTTCTTGATATTAGCCAGTCTGACTGGGGGTAAGATGAAATCTTAAAGTGGTTTTAATTTGCATTTCCCTGATTATTAGTGATGTTGAACATCTTTTAAGATGTTTCATAGCCAAAAAAACATCTTTACTTCTTCTTTTGAGAACTCTCTGTTCAGCTCCTTAGCCCATCTTTTAATTGGTTTACATCCTTTCTTGATTCTTTGTTTTTTGAGTTCTTTATATATTCTGGATGTTAACCCTCTGTCAGATGCGTCTCTGGTGAAGATTTTCTCCCACTCTGTGGGTTTTCTCTTCACTTCTTTAGTTGCTTCTTTTGATGTGCAGAAGCTTTTTAGTTTCGTGAGGTCCCATTTGTTGATTCTTCACCTTATTTCCTGAGCAATTGATGTCCGGTTTGGAAAAATCCTTTCCTACAC